GTAATAAAGTTTGGGGCCCCCGGTAATAAAGTTGTGTAACCCCGGTAATAAAGTTCGGGGTCCCCAGTAATAAAGTTTGGGGCCCCCGGTAATAAAGTTGTGTAACCCCGGTAATAAAGTTGGGGGTCCGCGGTGGCCCCCGCTGTGCCTCGACTCCCGCGCTTCCGCGTTTGTGGATCGCTCGCTGCTCATTGGACGGCTCGCGTGTCAATCACAACCCTCGCCCAATCGCCGAAGTCGCTCATCGCCCTCAGCCAATCGCAGCCCGCCGGTGGCGGTGGGCGGGTCCCCGCGGCTCCGGTGCGGACGGGGCGCGATGGCGGCGGCGGCTCCGTCGCCGCTCACCGGGGTGGGCTGGGCCGCCGGGCCCGAGGCCGCCCCGCCGGGCTGGACCGCGGTACGGGGGGCACGGGGAGGGCACGGCGGCCACGCGGAGCCCGTCGCGGTGCCGGTGCGGTGCCGCTGACGCGCCCCGTGCCCGCAGATCACGGTGACGGCGGAGGGCGCGCCCGCCGTGGTGGGCAAAGGCTTCGGGCACCGCGGCGGAGGGTGGTACCTGTGTGTGCGCCCCGCGGCAGCGCAGGTAACGGGGGCACCGGGCACGGGCCGTGCCGGGGTCCCGTCCCGGTGGGTTCCGGGGGAGGAATCGGGATCGGGGTGGGGAGGAGGGGTCGGGTCCCGGCATCAGGACCGCGGGTGACGGAGGAGTCGGGTCCCGGCATCAGGACCGGGGGTGATGGAGGGGTCGGGTCCCGGTCCAAAACCGAGGTCCCGTCTCGTCCTGGCGGCTCCCGGGGGAGGGATCGGGAGCGGGACCAGGACCAGAGGGGAAGGTTTGGGGCCAGGGGTCCGTCCCCGTTCCCGGTGCCCGGTCCCGATTTCCCGGAGTGGGTCCCGGATCCCGGTGCCCATCCCGGTTCCCGGTGCCCATCCCGGTGCCCCCCAGCCCCCGCCGTGCCCGGTGGTGACGGACGTGCTGGTGCTGAGCGAGCGGAGCCCGCAGCCCCCCGGCTACACCCGCGCCCCCGAGTTCCCTGAACCCCGTAAGTGCCCCCCCGAGAGTGACCCCACCCGGGGGGCTTTTCCCCGGTGCCCCCCCCCGGTGCCCTCCCGGTGCTGTGTCCCGTTTTCCCCCTCAGGAACCGGCGTTTCCCGGAGGAAAAGGCTCCTGGTGAAGCTGGAGCAGCCGAGCGGGGCCGCGGCGGTGCTGGAGCTGCAGCTCAGCTCCAAGGGCAAAGTCCTGCCCCTCTACACCAAAATCGGGTACGGGGGGGGGGTCCCGCAGCCCCCGACCCCCCTTTCCTTGGTGTCCCGCCCTCCCCAACCCGGGAATTCGGGGGATTGTTTTCCAGGGAAATGGGGGGTTTCGCCATTTGGTGCAAGAAGGGGCCGGTCGGGCCCCGGCCCAGCCCCGGCCCGAGGCCGCTCAGCACCGGGATGGAGCAGCTCTCGCTGCAGCCCCCCAGGTACGGCCACGGGGACCCCCAGTACAGCCCCCCAGGTACGGCCACGGGGACCCCCCCAGGTACGGCCACGGGGACCCCCCCAGGTACGGCCACG